TTAGAGCGAGCTAATCGCTTTCAGACTGTATTCCTTGGTGCCCCATCAGATATTACTGTGGGGAGTTGGGAGGAGACCAGGACCAGGGTGCTAGGTCCCTCCAAGCAGAGCAGCTCTATTATGAGTCACTTTTATTGTGGACTTCCAGGTAAAATTTCTTTTGAACCAGGTGTGTTAGGTCTGTTTACAAAGAAAGTACTGAAAACCCCTGGACTCGATGATCCACCTGCAATTTCATGAGCTGTTGCTTGTTAGTAATAAAACTTACACCCAGTGACTAATGCCTCCTCACATACTGTCCCCCAAGCTTATCTGGTTTATGATCGATTAGGTGGGAGCTCCAGGATCTCCTTTTTCTCAACCACTTAATTAGCTTCTGGAGCTGGGTGCACAGGAGCCTGTGGGACACTGGGGAGGAAGTTCACTGGATGCTAGTGGTGAGCTTGCCCAGAGGCGGTGGGAGCGGGGAGCCCTAGCAGCAGTGCTGGTTGTCCCTGCCCATGGCCGCAAGGCAATCAGTAGACAGTTTGCCCTCAAGGTAAGGGTCATTCCCTTCTCACTACTGCATTTTTAGCTATTGAGAAGGGAGAGTGAACTTGCAAAGAGGTATTTAGTTTGAACAATCAGCTTCCAGCATATTCCCAATGATAAAAATGGCCCATGAAAAGAGATTGAAGGTGCTCAACGTAGAAAAGAAAGAGGAAAAAGAAATAAGGAATTTCTGGTTAAAAATGTACCCTTCTGGTGATCCGAGCAGTTAGATTTAATCTGTTTACATTGGATAGTAATAAAAGGAAATGGGACCAGCTGCAGACCTCCTTACTGTGACAACAGTAACCTTTTATTATTCCATCGAACTCCAGGAGGAAATAGCTTAAACATCTGCAGCTTTTGGACGGAATTCACACACTCAGAAACCCAGCCTGAATGCTACTGCTAAATGACTTAGTATACGCTTTAAGCTGAGAGTCAACCCTTTGGGGAGCTGGGCAGTGCAAAGGGAGACACCAGTTTGCGATGAAGTTCCAGCACCTATTATCTAAATATGAGCACATTTGTAAAGCAGCTATGGCAGGAGGCAGTCCTATGGGGTAAAAAGGAAAAAGGACGCTTCAGTCAGTGTCTGCCATTGTCCCCTTCTTGTTTTCAGTGCACACTAAAAGCGCTGCAGAAGGACCTGGAGTAGAGCTTTGGTGACAGGTCTCTCCCCACTGCCAGCAGCGGCATTAGTGGGCAGAGGCGGGGCGGAGCAGAGTCACCTGCGGATGGGGTTGGGCTGCCTGCTCTGTCTGATTTTGCAGCTCTCGGGTGTGCCAGATTCAGAGTGTTCTGTGGGGCCCCCTCAAGCTCAGGGCCTGTGGAAGACTGATGATTTTGTCAGAATGTCGTGTAGCCATTTTCTTTTATCGCTTAGAATCTATTTTTATACTTAACACTGAATGAGCTCTTCAGACTTAGAGAGTTTTATCATCACTTTCATGCATACATAAAAAGGAAAATAGAAGCAAAGTAAAATAGGTTAAGATATTCCTAAAACTCCTTTTAGAAGTTGCAGAGTACAGAGGTCCTGTGAACCCATCTCCCAGCTCCCGCCAGTGGTGACAGCTAACATAACTACAGTGCTTTATCAAAACCAGGAACATCAAGTTCTAACCCCATTTTTTTACTCAGGCCAGGATGTCTGTGTTATCCCACACTCTGTTGTCCTCAGGGCCATCTAGGGTTTTGGTGATGTGCCATTTCTTAAGGGCTCCACTACTGTCTCTGGGTTATTTACTAGGCCACTGGCACCATCTCCCCACATTTTTATTTTAAAGATTTGTATTGGGGAATTGGGGGGATGGGAACAGTGCTGGGGAATTGGGGGAAGGGGAACAGACAAGTTGCTGTCCTTTTGTTCCTTAGTCTAGTTGTGGAGGACGTTGCTTCACTGGCCCAAGTTGGCACCATCATTGAGCTCTTCCCGGGTGAGGCAGATTAGTCGCCGGCTTCTGGACGGCCGCTCACTGCAGCTGCTGGCCGCTCACGCTGGCTGCTGGCTACACACGGTAGCCCATGGCAACCCACTG